GGCCCGGGCGAGGGGCGGCGGGGGGGAGCAGGGGCCGCAGGACCCGAGTTTCTGCGGGGCGCCTTCCCGGGCCTAGTCTCCGCGGCCAGGAGTCGTGTGATGGTGTCGCTGTGCACAGTGCACGGCCCCCACCTTAGCTGTTCGTCTGGACTCTTTTCACTTAGCGATTTGAATGGTCGAGCTCAGCGAGATTCTCATGGAATGGTTTACAAATATATTTTGCTTTGGGGGCCCCAGTTCATGCGTACTCCATTTTTGCGCTTTTTGTTGTACTCAGAAAGTGGTTATTCTTCTCTTAATATGTTCGTGAAATGGTGCTGTGTTGGATGGATGAATGTATGAGAGAAACGTTTTCGAAATTTCAGGGTCCTGTAGGATTCACTCTTATTTTGCTCACTTATTACCGCTGAATGCCAGGTAACTTTTTCAGAGAGGCCTCATTTCCAAAGTTCGGGTTAGTATTGAGTAATAATTGTCAGGCTGCTTTAAGACTGCCACAATTACCTTTAAAAATATATTTCTGTTGTTTGATTAGTTCACTTGAGGATACGCATACAGCAATTTTAAGCAGTGCACACGTTTTGAATTTCTGTTCTGGTTAAATGTAAAGTGTGGCACCTGTTAAACCATTCAGTTAATGCAATTTGAAGTTAACTGCAAAACATAATGTTTGCTTCACCTACTTTCTCTTGATTTTTAAAGACTGGGAGATGTCTTATTTTGTTTTCAGTTCTCAAACATTTTTCAAATTAGACTTAAGTAGCTCAGAGGAAGAATTCAACATCTATTGAATCATAATGCTGTTAAAAGTTGAGTTGTGCCTTTAGTAGTTCACATAACATTTGAGACCCACCAGAACCTGTAAAGATTGTCTTAAATTCATAATTCAAGCCAGGCGTGGTAGTGCACACTTGTAATTCTAGCTCCTAGGAAGGTTGAAGCAGGAGGATTCAAGTTCAAGACTAGCCTGGGCAATTTAGCAAAAACTATCTCAAAATTTTAAAAAGAGCTGGGGATGTTGTTCAGTGGTATAATACTCCTGGGTTCCATTCCCAGTACTGCCAAAAAAATTCATAAATCAATGAACCTGATGTTCTTTAAAGCGGATATGTAAAAACAGTTTTTATCTACAGGTGCTTACCAACTTAATACCCATGCCTACACACAAAATTATTTGAGAGGAAAATACAGAAGGAACTAATTTCACATGGTTATTTATATACTGAAATTTTCAAAAACTTGTTGATTGAAAGACAAGAAGAAGTGGGATATTGTCCACAAAAAAAGAGTTAAAACAAAGATAGACATATTTGGTATAAAATATGAACAAATGTGATAATTAGGTGACTTTCATCAGTGTTACTGTAGACCATCAACAACATAGTTATTGAGTCGTGCACACTTTACATTGACCTTTTTATAGTTATAAATGAGGATCCATTGTAAGATAAGTTGTTCAGTAGATAAAAATAATCCTTGACTTTAAGGAAAATAATAAGAAAACAGGGTAAGACTATAACCACATAGCATCAAATTGTGAAACATGAAACTCCACCATTTTGCTCAAATTGATTCTTCCCCAGATCTCATTATTCTAGCAAATCCTTCCGTGTCTCTGTAAATTCATAATGTATTAGACCCCTGATGTGAAGCCCAATATTTAACCTTGTCTGTTGCTCTTTAGTTCTTCTAATCTGTAATTTAGCCCTCCCCCTTCCCACACGCATACTATTGAAGATAATTTTTCAAATTCCCTTCCTTTTCTGTAAACACTCTCTAAATAGGAATTGTTTCATCTTAATGGCACTTAGATGAGTTTTCAATCTGTAAACTGTCTTGAAATTAAATGTAAAATTTTGTGCCGTTTTCTGGGGAGAAGCTCTATATTTTCACTAGATTAAGGAGTCCATGATTGAACCTTCCCCTGCCAAATGTGAGACATAATGAAGCAGTGCTTTGAAGACTCGTGTCAGGAACTGTATGTGCAGATTTTCTTCCTGAGTGTCCATCTCTTAATGTCTCTTGTGGACTACAGGTCTGTGGTCTTGATGTTGCCTCCCCTGCTAACTGCCTATGGATATCTCCTGGCTGTGCTCTTCTCTATCCTCTGCAGTGCTGCCTTTCTTTAATTGTCTGCCATTGTGATCTTCCTAGCCTATAAATAGTATAACATCCCTGATTTAAAAGAGACTCAAAGGAAAAGATCACTGCCACACAAAAAAACTTCGCAATTTCATGGCCATAGGCTGACATTTGTAATACTCTGTGTATAAATCCTGTGTCTGGCACCATGTAAAAAATATTTGGGCAGGAATGAGCCCCTCAACAACTTCCAGTTGGAGTCATCAGGAAAGGATACTACAGAAAATTATTTTATCTTTACCTTATAGGTAATTTTCACACTGACACATGAGTTAAATGAACACAAGTATCAAATGTTTGTGGAATGGAAAACTTGGTACTTTTAAGATACTGCTAATATAGCAATATTGTTAAGATATTATCCCTAAACTGAGCTAAAGATTCAACACAAACTCAATTGTGGGATTCTTTGTATGAGATTTACAAATATTTTCTCCCTTTCATTTTTTTAATAGTGGCTTCTGAAAAATAAATTTCTAACAAGCTGATTCTAAAATATGTATTCAAAGGCAACAGAAGTGGAAAAGCCAAGAGAGTTTAACAGATAAACATAAGGTACAGAGCTCAAACGACTTGATTTCTTTTATTTAGTTTCTTTTTATTATTATTAATATATGTCTGCAGTACATAATGATCATATTCATCGTAGGCACTTGGTACATGTGCCTCCTGTATCACAGCCTCAAATAACAGTACAGAGATGCCAGGAATGGACCCCCAAATATATGGTCACTTGATTTTTTGTTTTGTTTTGTGTTTGTTTTTGCAGTACCAGGGGTCAAACTCAGGACCTTGCACTTGCAAGGCAGGTGTGGCAGTTTATTTATCTGTTTATTTATTTATTTATTGAGACAAGGTATCACTATGTAGTAGAGACTGACCTGTAGCTCACTATGTAGCCCAGGTTGGTCTCGAAGTCACAGGGATTCTCCTGTCTCAGCCTCCCAAGTGCTGGGATTACTGGAGTACGCCACCACGCCTGGTGTAAGTCAAATGATTTTTGACAGAGGTGCAAAGGCACTTTGGTGGGTAAAGGATAATTCTTTCTGCAAACGGTGCTGAGACAATTTGGATCTGTATGTAAGAAGAAGAAAAAATTTCTTCATGCCTCAAACTCTACAGAAAAATTAACTGAAAATGAATTACAGAGCTAAATGTACAACTTAAAACTACAAAAATTTTAGGAGAAAATGTAACTTTGGACTGAGCAAAGAATTCTTAGATATGACATCAGAAGCACAATCCTCAAAAGAAAATTGACATTACACTTCAAAAACAACTAGAGACTTACTTTTCAGAAGCCACTATTAAAAGAATGAAAGAGAGGAAATAATTGTAAATCTCGTAAAGGACCTGTTTCCAGGATATATAAGGAATTTTCAAAACTTTTTTAAAAACTAAAAAAATAGGCAGCAGTTTCAAATAGATACTTCACCAAAAAAGATAAACACATGGCAAATAATACACATTAAGTTGCTCAACATTAGTAATCATAAGGAAAAAGTAAACAAAATCATGTGTTGCCTATTAGAATATCTAGAATTTTTAAAGAAGCTATATCAAGTGGTGACAGGATAGGGAGCAAATGCAGCTCTCATTTATTGGATAATGAAATGCAAAATGCTACAGCCACTTTAGAAAACAGTTTTGACTGTTTCTTATAATGTTTTATGTACACTTTATTACCCAGCAATTTTAGTTCTGGATATTTTTCCAAGTGAAATAAAAACTTCTTACATAAAAAAATCATTTATACATATTCTTAGTGACTTTAGTTAGAATCATCAAAAAATGAAAACAACTCAATCTCTCAACTGAGAATGGATAAATATCCATTTGTGTAAGGAATAAACTACTGATACAACATTAATTAATATCAAATGTATTATATACTAAATGGAAGATGCCACCAAAAAACTATATACTAATTTTTATTTATATAATAATGTGGAAGGCTGTTGGTATGTGAATGGGATTAAATTTTTGCATTGCAAGTATTAACAGGACATCTAGGTTCTGTGGAAATACACTGCTCCGTAGAGTTCCAGAGCTAGACCTAAGGTCTAAAGTAGATAGGATGGAAGATGGAAAACAGGTAGGATGTTGAATATTAGATGAAGAAGAGGAAAGTTCTTGACAGTACTTTGAGCTACATTATGTGAGATTTAGTCCCATGCACTACAAATTAGGGAAACGTTTATAGAGTTGAATGTTACAGGAACAGTTTACTGTAGTTGGTATAACATTGTAAAAGGAGTTACATGAACAGCACTAGGGACCAACTCAAGTTGAATGTAGAATTTCAGATATGCCCAGTCTCTTTAGTTTCCTTTGTTTATCTATATTCCACATCCCTAAACAGAGAAAGCAGAAGGCTGGGTTATTTCCTGGGTGGGTTGACCATGGCAAAGGATTAAGGAGGTAAAGAGTTACTTCTGGAATACTGAAGATCATGGAAATAGCTGAGCAACGAGTACATGGGGAATGGGGAACTTCCAAAGTCACTGACATTTCACTTGCCTTAATGGTATGTGTCATTTCTCTTCCAAAAGAGATACCCTTGTGGCCCTCAGAAGGTTCTTAAGAAGGTAAAGAAGACAGTAGAAACGAGCCTCCTGAGTTTTGCAGGCCTTAAATGGCGGCAGAATCAAGAAAGCCTTCTCCAGCCCCATCTCCACAAGACCAGGCTCCTGAGGAGGACCTTGTCATCATCAAGGTAGAGGAGGATCATGGGTGGGAACAAGAGTCTAGCCTGCCTGAGAATAACCCTCCTGGACAAGAACTCTTCCGCCTACGCTTCAGGCAGCTGTGCTATCAGGAGACACTAGGACCTCGGGAAGCCCTGATCCAACTCCGGGCACTTTGCCACCAGTGGCTGAGGCCAGATTTGAACAGCAAGGAACAGATCCTGGAGCTACTGGTGCTAGAGCAGTTCCTGACCATCCTGCCTGAGGAGCTGCAGACCCTGGTTAAGGAACATCAGTTAGAGAATGGAGAGGAAGTGGTGAACCTTTTGGAGGATTTGGAGAGGCAGATAGACATCCTAGGACGGCCAGTGAGTAGAAGGAGCTATACATGCTCATTATGGATGACCTGGCAATTGGGCAGAGGGATGTTGGCCTCCTGTGGGAGAATAAATGCTGGGCACTCTTATCCATTGGATGGAAATAGTTCTCATGTAGTATGTCCAATATTTGTAGATGCCTTTTTCCTTTTGTAAAGGATATATAACCCATTTTTTAAACATCATATCCCTATAACTGTATTGTTCCTATTTGCCAGGTGCCAACTGGATACATGGGGAGCTTAAATTACTTTTTCTGAGGTACCCAAAAAAATCAAAATTGGATCCGAGAACCAAGGATTTAGCTCAGTGGCACCATGCCTGCCTGGCAAGTTCAAGGTCCCAAATTTGATCCCCGGTACCAAAAAACAAAAGTGGATCCAAGACTAGAACTCAGTCTTCCTAGATCAGTGATGGCGAACCCTTTGGACCATTCAGTAATAACAAACAGCAGGCTATGGCATAGGTGCCCGAGGTTTGCTGCCACTGCCCTAGCTCCTTTTCCGAAACGTTTATCATTTTTTTTCTTCCTGTAGCTTGGAAGTACAAAATATTAGTGTTCCTTTTAGTGGAGAGAACATCATCAGAAATTTTTTTCTTTAGTCCTGAGAAGAAATTATGTCTTTTCTTCTGTATTCTCCATAATGTTTGTGTCCTTTGCTGTCCAGGGGAGTAAATGATACTGACTCTGCTGCTTCCTTCCCCAATCCTGGGCCCTGTAGATAGGCTGTGGTTCTTGCATCACTCCTTTCATTACTCAAAGGGATTCCTTTGTGGCCCCATTGTTCCCAGGTCCCAGCTCGTGCACATGGACATCGGGTACTCTGGGAGGAGGCAACGCCTTCAGAACCTGCACCAGAACCTCCATGTACTCTGCTCCAACCTGTGGTGGCCCAGCCTAAATCTCCAGTGCCCCAAGGGCCACAAGAGAGAGGTGAGGAGCCAAAGTTCAATGACAAAGATGGAAAAGTAGAAAGAAAAGAGGTGCATTTGGGATGCTTGTCTGGTTCCTAATCGGGAAAGATGAATATAGTCCACAATTTATATTCATACTTTTCCCATTGTCCCAGTGTTTTCTCTAGTGCAGAGTGCAACCCAAGATAGTAATGTGCAATTTATCATAACTCTCCTTTATTTTTCATTTCAAGATCTTGACAGTGTTGATGAATATAGGTTATGTTATACAATGGTTATAATTTGAGCTTGCTCCATATTTTCTCATATTTAGGCTCAGGCTATATATATTTGGTGGAATATTCCAGAAGTAATGTGTCCTTAGAGGTAGAACAGGGTCAGAGATTTAGCTCAGTGGTTCCGCCACCTGCCTTGCAATCAAGGTCCTGAGTTCTACCCCCAGTACCCCCCAAAAAAACCAAACACACACCCCTCTTAGAGGTATAACAGAAATTTGTCTTGTTATTGGTAATACTGTCTTTGATGAATTGTTATGGTTATTCTTGCTATTAATCCCCTATTTTTCCCTTTGTAATTAGTAATCTGTGGGGAGATATTCTTGAGTCTGTGTAAATGTCCTAGTCCCCATCAAACTTTTGTTGCCAAGACACTAATTTCAATCAATATTCATTGTTGGTTCTTGACTGAATCTGTGATTATTAAGCCAGTTACAAGACAGTTATGTTCTAATTCTGTCATTCCTTATACAACTTTTTTTTTTTTTTTTTTTTTTTTTTTTGG